ATGGTGTTTCCGCGGTCCTTCTTCTCCTTCCAACGCTGGAGACGGACTGCGTTCGTGTGAACCGCAGTGTCCTCGTCGCCCACCGCGACCGTGTGGTTTAGGCGGTCCTTGTTGTTCTTGTGGTGTTTGTGGTGCTTCCGACATTGGAGATTGTTCAGTGATTGGAGACTGTTGAGTGAAATGTGTACTAGTCGAGTAGTTCCAGGCGAGTTGCCTTTATATCCAGTCCGTCAGATAACTACCATGTGCCGACTGAACCTAAAATTGGACTCTGAGTCAATGTTTTTACGAACTCCGCAGCTTGCGCTTCGAGAATTGAAGAGAATGGAGTAGTAGTGAACGGATCGATCCTCGACGTTGTTGGGTAAGGCCGAATTCAGTGTCATGTTGTTTATCAAGCGAAGATCGGGAGAGCAGCTGGACAAAGACTTGCTTTAACTGCAGCTTCGTTTAATACGCATGAATAGTATTCGAAGCTGAGAAGCCGCTCGAGCAGTCTAAATGAGTTATAACTTGTCATATCTGTGATCGAGTGACAACTATACGCAATGCGCAGCGCTGCGCAGCACGGTCTTCGATCTAGCCGCCTTGGTCCAGCAAAAGCGATTGATGTTCCAATGATATTTCGACAATTATTCTGTGATCTCTCAATATTATTTTTAGATAACGAGAGAAGGCGCCATATAGACTCACAAGTTGTGCATCAAAACTGGCTGGTTGCATTTCCCCTTGTACTGAGAAGCGTCACTTGTTTCGAATAAGTGCGAAGCCTGTGGTATGGAGCGAAATTCCACGGGATTGCACTGCTGCGCACTAATCAGCCAGCTCTTCGGTCCGCCCGTAGACTACTGGAATTACGCTGACAGATACGGAAGTACCCCCCCAGCACGAACTTCAAATGCACATAAATTCACATTACTTCGAAGAGCGTAAAATTCGATATTGCGCAAGCACGGAGACATTAATCCGACGTAATGAACTACACAACTATCAGCACATGGGTCATTATTCGTCAGAGTCATGAACAAACTCGTCCTCGTTATCCGCATTCTCATCGCCATCAAATCTCTTTTCCAGAATGCTTTTAACACAATTTGCCATCCTATCCAGGACTTCTTGGATCGTCAGCCGTTTCGCTAGATCATCGACATGTATGCCTAATATAACGTCTTGAACTGAAGGAAAATTAACGTATATCATAATGCCTTAAGTTTTGCCATACGGAGATGCATAGAGAATGTTACCTTGAAGCGCAGTATATCGTTCGATATCTGCTATACGTTCGATCGAAAAGGACAATATGGCGCATCAGGTGTCTTTAGCTCTGGAGCCAGAGGTCGGCAATACCAAGATCAGGCGGACACAGGGAAAGTCTCTGTTACACTTTCCATATCGTCCTCAGAGAAATGAGTGGCAATCTCAAAAACAATAATGTGGACCTGAGGGCGGGTGAGCATTATGGTTTTTGTACGATTAGGGCACCACCTCGAAACGAACTTTGTTAGGAAGAGAATCTGAAGGACAATAGCCAGTAGCAGCTATGGACGCAAAGAATGGACGGTTTACCAAATGAGCGATACCATCGGTGTATAGAAATATGGTAATCTGTAAAGAAGTCCTTCGGCAGCTCGAGCTAGAAACCGTCTGTCGGGTAGCATGTCCAGGACGCCCGGTGTTCGAGAAAATCGTCGTCTCCCTTCGATTGCTTTCTTTTTGAGGTGCGTTTGGTGCCGTATTCGGGCTTAAGGACACCAATATTGATGGAGAATATCTGAAATGCCGTACTACAAACATCTGGAATACAATATATTAGCGTGAATCTCGAAATGAGGGCACGACGTACAGGATATCTCCTTCAGCTCAGCTCTTTGCAGCTTTTTCGTCCCTTTCCTTGACCATGAAATCGGGACCCTGCGTCAACGATCCGTATCACTGGTACGAACCTGGTATCGTTTCTGAAGCACGAGCAAGGCTGTAAAAAAAGTGGAAGCTAGAAGTGATGAGTAACCCGAGGACCCCAGAAACAGTCAAATGCGCTCACAGGATTTCTTGACAGATAAAGATTTTGCCACGGCACTCGCGCGCGACTTCCGGTCCATCTTGCAAAGAATGATGCCTCCGTAGCCAGAGGACCATATCTTCTGATCGTCGACGCATAGACAGCTCCTCGGTAGTTATCGCATGTCATTCATCGCAGAATTTTACATGGGTAGCTAAGCCTGGCGTACAGCCACCCGAAGCGGCAGTGAGGCGCGAAAGAATAGGGTGGCTATTCGGGCAAAGAGGAAGTGCTGAGAGTATTACGAAACTTGAGGGTCAGGAGGAAAAGCTATGACAAGGCGAAGGAAAGCGAGCTAGAATCAATAAGAAAATTCTGGGACCAAGCCGAGGTAAAGTGGCACAAACTCACAATTTCCAGAAAGTATCCCATTCCCTCGGCTGCCTGTCATGGTGAACACTCGTGCTATTCTTCACGCCCATCCAAAATCATTCTTCCGTTCGACCTCATTCTCCGATATTCACAAGACTCGGATCACTTCCAGGTTCACTAGATACTATAATTCGTTAGAGCACGAACGAAGGATGGTATGAAGCTCACAGACCAACCTTGTCCCATCGCTGGTAACACCTTCACAGTCCCACCGCCAACGTTGAGCTTTGTGCTATTGAGGTGTCGTCTGACGCGTTGTCGCCAACCGTCTTGAAAATGAAAAGGTATCCGACATTAGGTGCTACTAGAGGATGGTGAAACGGAGCCCTGGATGGATGCCGGAATCACATACAAACACAAAGACATCCACGGTCCTACGAGTATCCGAGTCCTGTGGGACACTGATTAAAGCTGGAGCTTGAGATAGCGTGTCTTGTATTCGATGCCGAGCCCTGTATTTTCCCTACGAACCACCGAGCTAAATTCTACAGTGTCAGATCAGTTTCTTCTCGCAAGCTGAAGACATGTACCATAGTTGAAACTGACGCACGGGGCCGATTATCATAGTGAAAGAGGCGAAGCCAATCCTTTTAAGTGTGTGCGGGACGAGAAAACGGTGAGCAGCGAGCTGGCGTTCGGCTAGTTGATGGTCGACCAATAGGCCTAGGGATTGAGAACGAGTACGGTGCATAGCGAAGGCATCAAGGAATGCGGTCGATCTGGTCATCGTCGTCGGCCACGTCCTATCACGAGGCTCGCGCGGCTGGCACGTTCAACGGCTACCCTTCTGTCTCCCTTTGATCCTTACATCAGCTTCTTATGCCTTTGAATGTATACGTGTATTTCATAGACATTCGACCACTCCTCGAGGCTAATTTGATTCTCAATGAAATCTCCGTTTCCTTTCCAATTCTGCGGCTCCTCAGCTGGGTTCCCAACAAAGGTGAATTGTAAGTCATCGGTGAGTGCCGCAGAACGATCTGTAGTTCCACTACTGACAATGAACCTCATCAACACGAAGAAACAACGAGAGGCGGGCGAGACATACATGCGAATCTAACAGTGATTCCTCAGCAGTGTGAGGACAAACTGGCTCTCGTCTAGGGTTTTGTTATCAGCTGCTGTCGATAAATGAGAATTGATAGGTGTGCATCAACGACGGAGAACATCCGTGGCGAGGTGCCGCTAGTGGTCGTCTTCAATACGATGCCGTTAATACCGCATCTCAATCAGGAATATACACCGCCACATCTCACGTGATTTCCCACCCTCCACTTCAATCTCTGAAGATCTGAACTCCGAGCAGGCCTTAAGTAACCCTATCAGTGCATGATGCATCACCACTGACAAAAGGCTCCATGAATCATGATCAAGATGATTTGGAAAATGCGGAGTACTTCTCTCCGTCGCTCGCGACGTTTCCATAGACAAAACGAAATGGCTGCAAAATAACCGTTCGTCTTCTCACACGACGTCGATCACATCGAGTGGCATGCCATAGGAGACGCGGTCCAGATATGATTCCTAAAAAAAGCGAGCGCGCTGCGAGTCACAGCCGCTCTGATCAAGGATGAACTACACTCACTGCTCAAAAGCTGGGCTCAGTGGCGAACGTAGACCAACCAGGGAGCGAAGCCTCCAGCTTCAGCAGCTTGGCTGCAGCGCTTTTGGATGGTGGGAACAATGCCAAGCTGGCAGGCGTCTTTGATTTCATTTCCAATCCGGAGCACGCTACTCTGGCTTCGGAAAGTCATGAACTCAGGTTCCAATATTTTTCCCTAATGACGTCCCTATTCTCCGCGCTTATCAACTCGTATTTTTTCACGAAATCATCAACCGTCGTTGGCCTTTCGTCAGAACATCCCTTCCTATACAAACTCCTCTACCGTCGGCTATGGCGTGTGTCTTCGTATCACCATAGAGCCGTCCGTTTTGCAAAAGTGGGGCTGCACTCTCATTTTCAACATAAGGAGGGAACGGAACTGTCCGGCCATAGTCGCAGATTCAAATAATTCACTATCCCGATGCGCAGAATATTAGGGTGTTGGAGTATACTTTCGGGTCTAGCAAACGGTTGTGTGACGACTGACACTTACCATCGCTACAGATCAATATGCGAGAAGCAGACAGAACTTCGGAACTTCGGAACTTCGAAGGGGGTATTCTCGAGGTCATTGAAGGTCTTCGATAGCCGCGGGCGAGCGTAGCTTTGCTATATTTGTCTTTGGAGGTCTCCAGTCCACATTAGGCTCGGTGTTTTGCAATTACTCAACAGTACCCCTTCCACATACGTAGCACGTGTGTTCGATGTGCTTTTCAGAATAATTTCAAAGCGTTTTTAATCTTGATAGACTCGGAAGGCCATGGCCCATCTCGCGGTACTAGACATGAGATGCAGTTCCTAGTGCTGATAGTACAAATGATGCTACGTATTTACGACCTTATCGTTGTGTAGTACATTACATGGAATTCTGGTCGCAAACGTACCCAAGCGCTTCTTCAAGTGTGTCGTACAACTTGGGCATATTCGTTACGGCCATATAAATCCTTAATACATATTATTTATATTGTTGGTATCGCTTAGGGGTTAAAGCACTTCATTGTGGAACGTATTCTGAATATTCTGAAGAGCCGCTGGTTCGATTACAGCTACCGACATGCTTGGCCTTTATGTGCGTATCTTTTTGATTGATCCAGATGTCCTTAATATCATTCAATGACAGTGGACTCTGGAGTTGGACACTGGACACACCAAAGGTGAAACTCAAGACTCAAGGACCCCCCATTGTCTATATAAAATACTCTTGGTGAGTATGTAGACATAGGACGAGACGGAGGCTCGCTAAAATCTGCATAGTAATCCTGATTTAGAATCGACTCTTTGATTGAACGCGCCACTGGGATATGTTTCAATAAAGTAGAAAGTCCTCAATATTTATTCTCTTAATAAACTCCTTGATCGTACTCAACCTAGCCAGTCTGCCCTCTGATGGCCACTCACCACAGTGGACGTAGCACTAAAAACGGTCGCCGTCACTTCGTATTTGCGCTAAAAGCTTTTCGAAGTTTTCGGGACCGGATGCGTTCATATAGATGTCATACCTGCTCAGCTGTAAGTCAAGATAATGAAACTTGAAGGGGGGAAGATAAAACCCACGAAGGCAAGGCGTCCTATACGACAACATCCCTGTCAGCGTCACATATTCTGCACCGATAATAAAATTGCAGTGAGTCTGTGTCATACACCTTCGCCGTATCGGGGTCGGGCGATCCTCGTCAAGACTAGGTTGATGGACAGAAATTAGACACCTCACGAACTCAAGTTACCTCTGTGCACGTACCGCTCACGAGGAAAATTTTCTGGGATCTCTCAAAAGACTGGTCATGTGGCTCATACCCGTCAGTGTTCTCGTCCTTTTAACGCTTCGTAAAGCACGCGTGAGACAAGTACTTGTGGGTATAAGTCTAAGAGTACTCGCTCCATGTGTTTGTGACAAGGGCCGCCATTGCACCTAGAAGTGTTTCGCGCGCGCTCTAGCAATCGCGTCCTTTCATCAAACGTCTTGACTATGAACCCGCCCCAAACCATAGAAGTCGAGGAAAGGTGAGAGAACGGTCACATACAGATATCCAAGCGAGGAAGTTCTTTTAAGCCCACAGGACGCTGACTAGTACTGTCACCTTCCAATGATGAAGAAGCCGTTTACGCATGCATGAGAGTCACTTGGCGCTTAGGTTCCTGCGCTGTACGAGAGATAAATGTCGGATAATACGACGAAAGGGAAAATCTAGGAGGACAGTCTCAATCCCCTCCGTCAACAGGCGGTTTTGTCTAACGAGAGGACGGAACGTATCAGGAGCACAGGTACTTTCGAGGTCCAATCCATAACCGAAGGCAAGGACCTTTGGTATCAGCTGTAAAAGTTTCAGTTACCGGCAATTAGGTATCCAGCATCGCTTACGTGGTTTCCCTCTAGTGCTGACTCTCACTGATTTATCTGCTTTCTGATATCCGAGGTCCCTAAACCAATCACTTTCTTCCGACGGGATCTACGACTGTTGTTAACGAAAACGAACGTAAATGAAAAGAGGTATACTATACCTAGCTACCCTTTCTACGAGTCATACTTGTGATACTTTCATCGGAGAATATGCCTCAAGTTCATACTCTAGAAGCAAGTCTTTAGATCTTCGAAGTCTCTTCATAAGGAGATAACCACATCTTTCCAAGTTTTACGGGCCGGAAATGGGATCAATGATGAGAGTCACAGATGCCGACTTCTGCGCTTGGAAGGCAGCACTTCAGATGTGCCATCCCTCCCAGGATATCGTCTAAAACCACGATACTGGAGCTGGAGTAAATAGACACGTGTGAGGAGATGTAGCATGTAGGCACTTACCCGTCTTGATAACATAACGAGCAAATGAGACCCCTGAGGGATTCCAGTAACTGATAAGCAAACCGCGCATAAATATTGAAGCTACCATAAACCCTTACACCACAGACTGTGTCGTACAGCAAGCTCACCCACACCGGTAGGGAATCCAGGCATTGGCAGAGGTAGCTAAAACTTTCGTGGAAATATTAGTACAACCCATGAGGCCCAATGAATGAAATCCTATCGTTGTCCATGCAAGGCGAAGCTCGGGGTCCTGGGGATAACAGGAACAGCTGATCTTAAGCATCAGGTCCGCTATAGCAAATATTCTGGCCTCGACACATATTTCGCAAGGAAAATCCACCAGACTTGTCCTTCCGAACGCGTCAGCCGTTCCTGAGCCGTTCTTACCCTCCTGATTCGCTTAAATACTCCTGGGTCGCCTTTTGGAGTCGCTTTAGCACCACATCTCTTCAGCAGGGTCTTGCAAGGGTAACGCAAAGATACGGTGGGTGGGAGTTAAATGAGGTATAGAACACATACTAGTACGCGGTGTACTAGTGTGATGGGTCACTGGGTACTACACTCACGTCACGGTCCACAAAAAGGTCGGACCACGTGCGAGCGTGTACAGATTTCAAATCCTTTCCGGCCCGATTCATTGGTTTGCTCCGCCATTGCTGGAAAGCATATCGTCCTCGGAAATTCTGCGTCATCGTCTCCAACTGGCTTGGAAACTGCTTCTCTGAAGAATCTGAAGAATCTCCAGCTGGCAATTACTGTCTACTTGGTGTGGTTTTTGCGGGTAACAATACCCTTCAGTGACGCACCCTCATTTCTCATGTGCTGCCCTAGGTATTTCCGACGCCACGACATCTGGAATTTACAAGAATCTGCTAGCTCTTGTCAGGATTCGTGAATCTACGAGACCGTCAGCAATATCATCGTTGCGGCTAAGTTACCAACTTTGAAGTTATTTACAAGGTGGGTTCAAGTCGATTAATATTTTGTCCACGGCTCTATCAACTGAACGATCTAATCCAATTAAGTAACTCTTCTCATATTCGACCTGGAAATGCTAGAACTTCCGCAGGAGCTAGTCGACGACATCGTCGACAGACTCCGCGACGATCCGAAGGCGCTAAAAGTCTGCTCCCTTATCTGCCACGCTTTCTGTGCCAGGTCTAGGACACATAGCTTCCGCACCATTTCTCTTGCGGATGAGAAGCGCTGTACTAATTTCTGTGATTTACTCCGGAAATCGCTGTATATATCTCGAAGCGTCGCCGTATTACATGTCTCCACATACAGCGTCGTTAAAATGCTTCTTGACTTCGAGATTCTGGGATCGTTTGTAAACCTCCATTCCGCCACCTTTCGGACCGTCAACTTCGACGGACTTCCGTACCATTGCTTCTCCGCCATCTCGTCTATCCGAAACATCACTCTAGCCGGGGTCACATTTCGAGACATCGTGCATCTCAGCACTTCCTTGTCATACCTCACATTGTTGAAGAAAATGGACATCTACGTTATCACTATTCATGTGGCAGGGCAGGCACGGCCGAATTCGAACAGCGCTGTCAGGCGCCCTCGTGTTCAAGAACTGAAGTTGTCTTGCAATCTACGTGATGGTCCAGTTCTAGAAGCACTCGCTAATGGAGATTTAATATCGTTGAGAGGCTTGCGTAATCTATCCACCATGTTTTGTCCGCAAAATATTCTGCACCTTGAAAGACTGATCCAAATACCATCCCTTCGAGTGCTGGGGGTCAGAGCTCTCCAGCCTGCAGGTTCGTAGCCTTATTATTTCCAAACGCAAAGGTCCCTGTCTTACATATTTTCAGGCATGGGATCGCGGGTTCCTTTATCTCTGGGCAATGTCCATACCCTTGTGCTACAAATCAACTGGTACCCCGATGACTCCCATCTCTCTGCAGTACGATAGTGGACCAGATGTTTGGCGATAAGCCCGTCCTTGCAAAGAGTTACCATCTTATATGATACTCGTCCTCCATTCAGCAATTCAGACCAGCCGAGCGACAACAATAACGAAGACTACACAAGACTCACTTGGATGAATTTGGATAGAGTATTGTCGGAAAAGACACCATTCACGCTGCAAAGCTTTCGTATGACGCTTTGTACCGATATTGTGGCAGAGGAAGACAAATTGGACCTGAAAGAGTATATGGAGGATATGTTCCCGGGTATACAAGCACGGTGTAAACTCCGGGTGGACGTGGTTAAGGAATTTCGTTCCGTGATCACTCGGTGATTGCCCCCAACGTTGTAGGGCGCGAACCTCTCTTTGTCACATACATATTTGGCTTATGATTATTATTTTGGTGCGTCTCATGGTAATTTAGCCAGAATATGAAAAATTTTCTCACAAGCCACATGCAGAATATCAACAAACAATACATGGCCGCTACGGCCCTAGACAGGGCTCGTACATTTACAGGCCATATTGGTGGAAATTGATTACAAGAAGCTGAGCATTCGGTTCCCACTTCGCGCCGCCCATATGACCTTGAAGACGACTCTTTCACGACGCCAGTAACCAAGTCTTAATTAAATAATGCGCCTTTCTGGGTTTTGGCCTAGACCCATAGATGCACGACCGGGGCATCCGGATGGATGATCGCCGCCTCCCTTCTGGGAAAGCGTTCTGCCCCACGGTGACCAAGCAGCAGACGCAAACGCTAGCGCAGAGTACGACAGCCTAAGCAGAAGGTCAATATCCAGAAAGTGGACGTCTGAGCATTCTGAGTCATACCAAATGTATATCAGCCAAACTCCCTTCACTCTGCTACCAATGTCTGACTGTGATAAATATAAGATATCCCTCGTCGTCGTACCTTTGTCTTTCCTGGTCGGCAGGATCTCTCCAGATCCCACCCCCGCACTAGAGGATTGTTCTTCTTCCACCAAATAGGCGGAATGGCGATGTTTTGTAATCTCTGTCGTCGTTGATGATGGTTTCCGTCGCGGGGATGGAACGTGTAAGTCGCCCTCTCCGAGGTAGCATGAAAGTGAACCGCAACGACGGAGAAGTATCGGTCCAATAGCATCAGTAAGCGGCGGTGTGGAGTACTGAAAGGCAGGGATGAGCTCGACAGTGGGCAGTGAGAGCCCGAGCCTCATCGACGATCCGTAGGGCGGTCACCACGGCATCATAGCCTGCCCAGTAAACTGGGGGTTTTGGTAACTGGCCATGACCTGCCGCTACTGAAGTGTAACGATTGGACCCTCTGACGGAGCAGTCTAGCTTAGTCG